CCTCGGATTCCACTCTGGATATCAAAGAAGGGCTGAATTTGGAGGACCTCTCTTTGCCACTAGAGTCGGTTTTCTGACACACATTCCCACGCACAGCTGGCAGGGGCAGGGGGTCGGGGATGCTCTGGGCTGCTGCGGCACAGGGGAGGCTGGTTGGTCACTAACCGGATTTCCCGGACACACAACCCTGGCAGCTTGGGCGGGTGGCCTGGGAGCCCAGATCCCGGTCCCCGGCTTAGGACTCCGGGTAGAGACTGAGGGGCATAAGGTGACTGAGGAACTTGATCGCGCCCATCTTTGGGGCAAAGAGATTTGGAGGCCGCAATTATTCAGACAGTTGCACGAAGTGGTTGAGGCTTCTCTGTTTCTCCTGATTTTCCAGAAACTTTTGCAGAGTTTGGACAGGCGAAGGAAAACGTGCAGCTCGCGGGGCTCCGGGCCTCGGGGGGCAGGGATTTGGGGAGACTGAGGAGCCGCTCCAGAAGCGCGGAGGAAGCGCGCCGAGCCGGCTTCCTGTGGGGGCTCGGGCCTCGGGCGCCCCGAGTACAAACGTGTCGGGCTCCCGGCTGGGCCGAGCCTGGCGCGGGGGAGGGGTCCCGCAGAGGGGCGATTGGGAAGGCGAGGAGGGGGCGGAGAGAGGGTGGGCCAGGGAAGAGGGGAGGGGAGAGGCGAGCAGGGGAGGAGCGAGGGGGCTGGAGAGAGAAGGAAGAAGGAAGGGGCGAACTGCGCGAGCAGGCGCCGTAAAGGGAAAAAGTGAGAGGGGAGGGGGCGCCGGGAGAGCACCCGGGAGCGAGCGGGCCCTGGGCGGGGGTGCCAAGAGCAGGCGCGGATGGCGGTCCCCGCGCGGGGATCCGGCTAGAAGAGAGCGTAGCGCGGCTCGAACGAGTGAGTGGACTGGGGAGGCGCGCGTCGTTGGGGGATGATCGCCCCCTGCCCGCCCCCGGCCTCGCCCGCTGAGCCCTGTTTTCCGCAGGTCCGGGGCCGATGTACCAGGTGAGCGGCCAGCGGTCCTCTCGCTGCGACGTGCCCCATGGAGTCCCCAGCGCAGCCCCGGGCCCAGGTAGGACCGGGAGTGGAGGACGAAGCTGGACAGGGGTGGGTGGCGGCTGAAGGGGCCAGTTATTAGTTCTCCTCCTCTGCCCCCAGACTCGGGGAGACGGCTCTGGGGAGCTTGGTGGGGATAGGGACGAAAAGTCTGGGTTTGGGGACTTGATCCAGGGAGAGTAGGGGGCTGGGCGGGGGAGGCAGGGCTCTGAACAGAGGTCGCGGCTCTGCCAAGTTGGCTCCAACTCCGCGCAACTCCCGACACCAGACACACACACACACACACACACACACACACACTCCGCGGTGTCTGTCTGTCCGTCTGGGATTTGTGTCTCGACCGTTTCTGCCCAGTGTAAATATTTATAGGGGCCTGGTGTGGAGGGAGGGGGCGTTGTCTGAGTCTTTCTCTCCTTCCCTTCCCCCAGTCCCACTAGAGCCGGGCGCTTCCCGAAAACTTTTGTCTGCCGCCAGCGGCTGCAGGACCCGGCCCCTCCCCTCTTTCTTGCCATCCCATCTCCCTCTCTTTCCTTCCCTCTCGTGCCGGCCAGTCCCCGCCGCCCCTGCCCTGTGCACACACGCGCACCCCCACCCCGTGTCTACAGCCCGAGTGAAGTGCCCCATCCCGTTCCTGGCGCCGTGTGTAACCCACCCGCGATTCCTGGGGGAGCCTCACAAGCCAAGGACAGTTTTTAACTCCCTGAGGGGGTTTGGGGTAGGGGCCTTGCGGGCTGTGTCCTCAGTCCCTTCCCCTCACTGGCCAGATGCCTAGTTGAAGCTCCTAAATGGAAGTCCGGGTCAGGGAGAAGTCAGGAACCACTGGGATGTGTTCAGGGCCAGGGGAACCGCGTGCAGGAGTGTGAACCCGGATTTTATAACTTGAATCTCCTCTAAGTCCTTGCCTTCCTCCCCCGCCCCCCAGCCCCATTCTCCCTTTGACTCTGAATAATGATGGTCTGCTCCTGAACCTCTGACGTGAACTCCCTGCCTTGCCTTGGACAAGCTCCCTCCCTTCTCTGGCCTCAGCCTCCACTTGCAGCCGCCCTCCTGGCCTGCCTGCCTGTTGGAGGAGGCCCCTCTGTGTTCCCCACCTACTTGGTACTGACGCCTAACTGTGGGGGTGGGAGGGTCCTCCAAACCAGAGTGAGGACAAGTGGAAGATGTCTGGCCAACAGCCAGCAAATAGATGAGACCAGTGTGTCTGCAGCCCATCTTGGCCTAGCCTCAAATTCCCTGCCGTCTCTGTGGGGCCCCTGCAATGGGGCCTTCTGCAGGATGAGTGCCTCCAAGAACTGGACTCCTTCAGCCCAGAGGGAGATCTGGGGGCAGGGCACTTGGAAGGGTCCTTCTCTGTGTCTGGGAACCTTCCCTGTTGGGGGGGGGGGTCCCTCCTGCCTCCTCCGTTCCTCAGCCTCCTGCTCTCCCTAGCTTTCTCCCTCCCCTGATCCATTTTCTCTGGTCTCCCTCCACCTTCCAAGATCTTCCTTGCTGAAGCCACTCTCAGCTCCAGTAGCAAGAGGAGAGAGCTAACCGGACAGAATTGGGGCCAAGGTGGGCAACTGGGAAGGTGAAGCCCCAGGCTGTAACTTGAGGCCCCCCAGCGCCCCAGCAGACCCCCTCCCCAGCCTGGGTTGGGCCAGACAATGCGGCTTTCATAACTCAAGGCTTTGCTCTGCCACCGCCTTGGGAGAATGAGCCTGCTGCCCAGGAAGCTGAAACCGCAGGAGACCCAGCCAAAACCCCATAGACGCCTGAATCCGAGACCAGAATCCCCCACGCTTTGCTCCCTGAGCGCTGACAGAACAGCAAGGCCACAGCGCTGCCCCCAGAGGCCCTACTGGCAGGACAGCCAGGGAACAAGTCAGCCCCTCCCTCAGCCGCCCCAGTGCAGACAGGGCACAAAGAGACTCAGGGCAAATCTGGTAGGGGCAGGTGGCCAAGCCCCTACACCTTTGGCTCTCCTAGCTGCCTCCTCCCCAGCCACCCCTGAGAGCCCCAGGAGCCTGGCTACCTAGCCCACAGGCACATTTCTGCCCAGCACTGGTGCGTCACATTCCTGTTCATGGTTCTAAATTGAATTTCCTGGGGAATTGGAGCCTTCAGACCTAAAATAAAACCAACTTGACCCAGCCTAATTGGCCAGCCCAGGCCCTATTTGGTTCTTAGCTTGGTGGCTTGGGACTGTGACCAATGGATTCACATTACCCATGTGTGCATCAAAGAAGTCCACCCTCTCTGACTTTCTTGGGGTTCAGGTCCAGATGCCACCCCTGTTCCTCAGCCCTCTCTCTCCTTCTCCTGACTGGGGCATTCTGAACTCCGGAAGGTACTCCCCAGTAGGCATTTGCTGAGTGCCCCTTGGGGATGCAGGATGAATATGGGCGCCACCCCCAGGGAGTGAGTTGAAAGGACTGTAGTCTGCTTGAGAAGCCAGGGCTTCACTAACAAGTTATTAACAAGAGGGGACACTGGAGCTAAGTCCTCAGCAACTGGGTCAGAGAACGCTTTCTAGAGGAAGAGGTGAAGTTTGAGCTTGGTCCACAAGGATGAGTTGGATTTGGAGAGTGGGAGAGGTAGGAGCTTCTGGTCAACAGAAACAATATAAGCATGGGTGGACTGGTCAGAATATCTGGTGACGGCCCAAGCCATGGAGAGGCCAGTCTGCCTGGAACACAGGATCCTGGTACATTGATAGATTGAATATGCAGACTGAGGCCTTGAATGCCAATCCAAGGAAAGACTGAAGTGTGAGGTTCCAGCCACCACTCTGACCATAGGAGGTTCTGGCCTTCTCTCTCCAGAGATCATCAGAGCTCCAAAGGGGAAGCCCAGATCCACAGTCCACAAGGACAATGACAAGGGCTACACTTAAAGCACCAGGCAGTGGAGCTCTGGAGCACGGGCCTTTGTCCACACCAGCCAAGGGTCTTCTGGCTGGAACTCCCATGGGCACTGTCCAGGCTTAAACGCATCCCACCTGAAAGAGGTCCCCCTACTCCCTGTTGGTCTAGGACCACCCCTCAACTTGGTGGATGGTGCCCAGGGAGGGCCCACAGAGTCCTTGCTGAGGGTGTGAGTCTCGGTCTTTCCTCTTGGGCTCATGGATTTACACATGACTCCCACTCCCTTCTGGGGCTGGCTGTCTTTCCAGAACTCCAGACATTTATTAGACTCTTATCCTATGTTAGGAATGAGAGTGCACTGAAGCAAAGGAGCTATTGCCTTTCCGTATCTCCCCTTTGTAGATAGCCACCCTTGAGAGGAGGGCTACAGGGCCGGGAGCTTCTGCTCAGAGATGCCACCAGCATTCATGGCACCAGGTACAGATTAGAAAAAGGTGCCCCCTTGGTCAGATGGAGCAGGGGTGCAGTTGGGTGAGCAGATGGCACCTACTAGGAAGACGAGGACTTCAGCCCCATCTACTCACTCCCTTGGCAGGCACCGTCGGCAGGTCATGAATTGCACATCCACACAGGGGCTTCCTTCGCCTTTGCAGACAACCCCCTTCCCTCCTGCCCACTCTACACTTCCACTTTCCGGAAGTTTCTCCCCTGAGATGTTCTCCCCTCTGTGGCTGGACAGCAGTGTCTCAGTTACAGAATGGAAACGTGGGCTCTTGGTGTCTCTGCCCCATCTGTTCCAAGCAGGAGCTGCTTCTCAGTCCCCACCTCGGGGTCTGGGCCACCAGGGCAGTGTCGCTGCTGCAGACCAGGTCCGCCTGCAGCTGCTTCTTCCTTTTCCTTCGGCTTCCCTGTCTCTGGACACTTGGCTCAGCTTCCTCTTCTGCTCTCAGGACTCATTTGCTGGGTCCCCTCTGCGGCCCCTCCTGGCTCCGGAGGTTCTCTGTCCCTCTGTGTGTCTCCAGGTCAGCATTACTGGACTTGGTTTTCTTTCCTTCCTCATTTTTCCTCCTTGGTCTAATGCCTGGTAGGCTTCCTGCAGGATGCGCCCCCTCAGGCCTTGGTCTGCACTCTGGAATTTCCTGTTCCCACCAGATCCAAGGTCACCAGCCCTGTAGGTGACTGTCAGGAGAGACTGCTCACAGAGTGGAGACACTTTGAGTAAGGAGGTTGGAGATGTGAACTCCAGGCTCCTTAAATCATCTTCCTCACCTTCTCTCCTCTCTTCTTTCATCTCTTAGCTCTGTCTCTCTCCCCCCTCCCATTTCCTCTCTGTGTCATTTGGAGATAGTTCATAGAGGACACCGTACCTCAGCCCCTCTCTGTTCTCTGCGATTGATTCCATTTCAGTTCAAGACTACCCTGTGTCTCTAACACTGCAGGGAGGAAGGGAAGCAGGGCAGGGAGCAGAAGTCCTGGCTCTCTCTATCTACCAGAGGACTCACAGTGTCACCCCAGGGAACCCTCGTGACCTCTGCAGGAAGCCTGGGAAGTGACCACAAGGCCTGTCATGCCCCAGCTATTCTGGGCTTCCTAGCCTCAACACCGCCCAGAGCATGTGGCAGCTCACTGGGGGTCTTGATTCCTGCTGCTCTTCTCAAAACTCCCCTTCTGTGCTACTGATTGGTCAAGACTAAGTGTGAGTATTGCCTGCCCCAGGAAGCCTGCTAGCCACACACACCCATCTGGGCTGGGGCCTGTCTTCTGTGCTTCTACTATTCTTCCAGATGCCCTACCGTCACTCTTGCACTTCTGTGTATGTAAGAGCCACCAGCCCACCCCACCCCTGACCGAGAACTCCAAGGCAATGAGCTGGTCTTTCTCACTTGGGTATACCCAGTACTCCTTATATTGCTGGGTGCCTCGTAGGTGCTTAATAAATGTTATACCATGCAGCACAGGTAGGAAGGAAGGAAGGAGGGGAGGAATGAATGAAAGGGGAAAGGTCAGAAGCCAAACTACTCATTTAAAGAAAAAGGAGGGAGAAAGGAAAGAGAGGAAGGGAAGGAGGGACCGAGGGAAGAGGAGTGGGGCTGTGGGTGAAAGGTTTGTGAACAACCCCCTAATGAGCATTTTCTTTCCTTCTTGAAACCCTGTGGCATGAGCATTAGGACAAAGTAGCCCCACTCTGATAACTTGCCAGGCTGGTAACTGGTGAATGCATGGCTCAGATCTTCCACTCCTCACTCAGGTCTTTCTGTCTCATTACACCATGTGGGAGAGTCAGGTCTCCCCGTTCAGGGCCCAGGGCCGTGGAAGATGCCTCTGGGGGCCAGGGTCCAGAGCTAGGCAGGCCCCTGGTTTCCTGAAAATTAGGACCATAAGCCTCTCTTTCCTTTGTCTTTTCTTTTTTTTTTTTCATTTTTGTGGAGAACAGGGTCTCACAATATTGCCCAGGTAGGTCTTGAACTCCTGGTTTTACAATTTTTTTTTGTCTTTTTTTTTTTCCCCTTTGAGCCTCCCTTTTTATGGCAACTTGGTCTTAGCCCTCAAGAGCCATATCTGAGCTGGTGTAGACCAGGCTCAAGGCTAGGAGAGGCTCCATCTGGCACCAGCGTCTCCACTTGCCTGCTCCCACTTGTCCAAATCCTCTGATCCTCCAAAAGCCATTTGATTTCTCAACAATCAACCCAGCTATGAGCGGGGCTCTCAACAGGCCCACAGAGCAGATGGAGTTGGAAGGAACCCACCCCTGCCTTCCTGGAGTCATGGGCCCCGGGAAGGCCTCCCAGCAAATAACTCCGCTGCCCTGCAGGAATCCCAGGAGCGCCAGCCCTGCCTCCCCCTTGCCCCAGCTCCTGTCTCCAGGCAAGGCCTGTGGTTTTTCACTGGGCAGGTGAGAGCATGCCTGTTGGGCCTGCTGCCCTCTGTGCTTCCCATATGGGGCCTTGGGCGCCCATCCCCCTGACCGTGGGGGACCAGACCCCTTAGAACAAGGATTCTTAAGGGGTTTCTGAGGGTTACGGCCTCAGGGAACTGTGCTCTGGGCCGAGGGAGGCAGCTGGGCCCGAGGATCTTCCCCTCAACATGCTTCCAACTCCCCTCCCCCAGGCCTGCATGCCCAGGCCTCCACTGAGCCCTCTAATTATCTCCCTTCTCTCTTCTTTCAACTCTCAGATCTCTCTGCCTCTCTTTCCCCTGCCCCCTTCCTCTCTGTGTCATTTGGAGATAGTTCATAGAGGACACCATATGTCAGCCCCTCTCTGTTCTCTGTGATTGATTCCATTTCAAGACTACCCTGTGACTCTGTCTCTGCATGTGTCTCTTTCTGGGTCTCTCCATGGGGTGTGCACTCTCTGGGCTTCCCTACTGTTTCTTGTCATCTCCCCCTCTGTGTCATCCTGCCACCTTCCATGTCCCCCTCTGTGTCCCCATGCCTCTCCCCGTGTCTCCCTCTGTGTCCCCCTGCCTCTCCCCGTGTCCCTCTCTGTGTCACCCTGCCTCTCCCTGTGTCTCCCTCTGTGTCCCCCCTGCCTCTCCCCATGTCCCTCTCTGTGTCCCCCTGCCTCTCCCCATGTCCCTCTCTGTGTCACCCTCCGTCTCCCCGCGTCTCCCTCTGTGTTCCCCTGCCTCTCCCTGTGTTCCCCTCTGGGTCTCCCTGCCACTGTCCATGTCCCCCCATGTCCCCCTGCCTCTCCTCATGTCCCCCTGCCTCTCCTCATGTCCCCCTCCATGTCATCCTGCCTTTCCCCATGTCCCCTTCTGTGTGTCCCCCCCCCCGTCCCCCTGCCTCTCCCTGTGCCCCTGTGGCCTCTGCATCTCTGAGCCTCTTGTTTCTGTGTCTCCTTGCTCCTTCTCTTTCCCCCAGCATGATATGTGGGGAGGGGACAGGTGGAAGGCCACCCTCTTGAGACCCCTGTCTTTCCAACTAACCGCATAGTCTGAGGTCTAATGAGAGGCCCAGGCTGCACCCTACACCCTTTCATTGGCACAGCCTAGGCCTGCCCACGACCCCTGGCTGAGTGCATGGAAGCTCAGACCCCTTTCTTCCTCCCTCCCTCACTACCCATCCCCCATTCCTTTTTTCCCCTGAGCCTAGGGGCCCTAGTCCTGCAGCCTAGGGAGCTGTGGGTTTGAAGGTGGCTCCATTTCTGCCTCTTGCCGCCCCTGCACAGAGCCACTGTAATTACATGTGGCTGCGGTTTACCTCTTCCCTGGCACTCTGACCAGCTTCTTGTCGCTCTTCTGACTGCAGCCCCTCCCTGCTCCTCACCCCCAGGTTCCTCTGACTCCTCTGCCATCATCCTCTCTGACCCAGTTTCTCCTGTGCCTCCCTCCGCGCTCTGTATCACACAGTGCTCCCTTCTCTATCGCCTCTGTCTCTGCCTCGTCTCTTATCTTTCTCTCCATCGCTGACTTTTGCACTATTGCTGTGTCTTGCTTCCATCCCAGGCTGTCTGTCACTGGATCACTGTGAATCTCTCTTCTGTACCCAATCTCCTGCAGGCCAATGCTCTATCTGTCTTTGCCTCTACCTCTCACTGTCCCTTTGATTCTCCCTGTCACTCTTGATGCCTGTCCCTATCTCTCTGTCACTGACCGTCCATCTGTTCTCCCCTGCACTGTTTCTGCCTCCTCTCCCCACTTCTCTTTATACTCTACCATCTCTGCCCCTCCCTACACCACATGCACACGTGCACACCCTCACGTGCATGCACACCCTTGCTCACTCCCAGGTTGTGGTTTGGGAGTTTTCTATTTTGGAGCCTGTTGCTGTTGTCAGATAGAGTAAGGACTGGGTAACTGGTGCAAACAGACGAAGAATGAGGGTTCAGTGGACATGGTGGGCTGTGGGGCGGGGCCCAGGGCTTGGCAAACAGGAGGGCCCCAGGAAAATGGACCTCAGTCATCTGCTTTTTTCCTAGCCCAGACCCTATCCCTCCTTCCTGGGCTGGAGGTAGTAACAGGATCCACTCACCCTGCGGAGGCAGCGCCAGAGGAGGGCTCTCTGGAGGAGGCGGCAACCCCCATGCCCCAAGGCAATGGCCCTGGGGTCCCCCAGGCATTGGACAGCACTGACCTCGATGTCCCCACAGAAGCTGTGACATGTGAGTCCTAGGGGACCAGGAGGTTGGATGGCAACATGTAGTGGTTGCACTAGGGAACTCAACACAAATGGGTTGGCAAAAATGGGTACACCCACTTGGCCAGGACCTTGAGGGTGGCAGCATGGCAGCAGAAAGGGGTAGGGCACTGTCACTGCACTGTCTGTCAAGGGGCAGACCTCCACAGCAAAGTGCCTAGGAAGCAGGAGTGTCAGCAGGCTCCAGGCAAAATGGCTCAGCGCAGAGAGCATGGGGCTGCCTGGAGAGAAGTACCCCCAGCCTCAGGAAGAGAGCTTTGGGGCTGCCGTGGGTCAGCGAGCCGGAGCCTGATGCAGCCCCATCCTTCTGGGAATCAAGGGTAAAAGGAAGAAGCCCCCAGTTGCTCTGTGGGGGCAAATAGAACAAAATTCAGCTCCATTCCCAGGCCTGGCTTGAGTTATCCAAGGAGGTCCTGGAAGGGAGAGAATTTTCCACCTTTACTCTCAAGAACAGGAGAAGCAACAGTTGGGATCATTTTTATAAACAGCAAGGATTTGTCCACATCTGTAGACATGCTTTAACTTCCCAGCTCTCTGTCCCTGATGGGCTCACTTGCTCGCCTAACCAGCCTATAGTGAGGCAGCAGGATGGCTACTGCCAAGCTCATTTTACAGACGAGGGAACAGGCACAGAGAACCACCCACCCTGGTCCCAAGCTGGGAAACTCAGGTCTCCCAGCCCAGCACTCTTCCCAGTGCCTGCCTGCATGCCCCGCTGGCATGGCCAGGCGGGCAGCCTCCTCTAGCCAGGGCATCTGGGGCTAAGTTGGACTCCCTGGAAGTCAGGGTTACTATCCTGCTAGTGCGTGGCCCTTGGTCTCCTCCAGCACACCCACCAGCAGAATTGAAAGAGCTCAGTGCCATGGCTATGGAGGAGGGGGCCTGGTGGGAATGGGACAGACGCTCCTGTGTCTGTGAGCCCTGAGTGTTTGCTCTGTGACTCAGCCCCCACGGCCGCCCCCATGGCCATGGCCACAGGCAAGCTCTGTGTCTGTCCACATCTCCCAGATCCCTCAGCTCACCACACACTCCCGCCCTCTGGTCATGGCACCCATGTTTAGGCAACAGGGCAAGGGGCACCGAAGCTGGCCAAGGACTCGGCCCAGTCACCCTGTGTGGGGCCAGAAGGTGGGGGCCGGATGATTCAGGCTGACCACTTCCCAGAGCTTTACCCCTGTTTACCCAGATGCAGGCACCAGCCACACCTCTTGCTGGAGGCTCCCAGCATGGAGCCTCTCCAGAACCCTGGCTCCCACCCTTCCCCTGACCCCCAATCTTGTCCTCAGCTCCTTTCTCCCAATCTTCGTACCCTCCCTGATCCACTTCCCAGCTGCGGGACTTCTGGCAAGCTTTCTCATCTGTGAAATGGGGCCAATAGTAGATCTCTTGTGATGCGTAAAGGAGCTGCTCCACTTAAAGCTGGCAGCACTGTGCCTGGGACATAATACCTGCCCAAAACACACACACCACCAGTCATGAGGGTAGTGACTGTCGTGACAGTAGCAGCTGATTCCTCGGTCACTTGTCTCCCAGCCTCTGCCCCCCTGCTGGCCTCTGCCCTCTGAGCCCAGCTCTTAATCTCTAAGCTCGTCCCATATCTGACACTTGCTAGCTCTGTGACCTTGGGCAACTTATTGTACCTCTACCTCTCTGGGACTCAGTTTCCTCATCAGTAAAAGAAGGCTAGCGATACCAAGGGGATCCGTGAGCAGCAAGTACTTAGAAGGGCTGGTGTGCGGGAAGCACTCGGTGTGTGATGTTGTTACTGCTGCCCTCACTGGAAGACCTGGCCTCCTCGGCCAAGGGAGGCATCGAGGCTACCCTCCCCTCTCCTTGGGCTCCAGAGCCCCCAAGACATCTCCCTCCTACACAACTCGCATACACAGGCCAGGCCTGGAAGGAGATGGGGATCCAGGCTCCAGCTCCTGAGGGACTGAAGTGCCCTAAATTTCCAGAGGGTCCTTGGGGCCACAGGGTCCTGCCCAGGAGTCAGGAGTCCTGCCCAGCTGAGGAGTCCCAGAGCTCTCAGTGACCCTTCTTCAGTCCCTCCCTACTCCCTGCACCGTACACACCTCCTCTTATCTCTTGAGAATATAACTGAGCCAGCCAGTTCTCATCCAGAACTGAACATCCCTGAGTCAGGTGCAGGAAGGAACTCGGTGCTTAGGGGATCTCCAGGGTCACCTTGCCTGCACCCCATTGATCAAGCTGAAGTTTGGTCCCTCAGCCTGCAGTGGGGACCCAGGGCTCCTGGCTTTGGGGGTCTCCCCACTGTCCTTCCTCTTGCCGCCTTCCCTCCCTCCTCTCCCAGACCCCAAGGCCCCTCCCCAAACTCTGCCAGCTGCCCACAGAGGCAGGATGGGGCTGGGGATTCAGAGGGCAGAGGTTCGAGTTAAGGCATCAGGAGGAAGGGACAGGAGGTAGAGGGGCTGCAGTGAGGTGCCCCTGGATTCCAGGGCCAGGCGTTCATCTCCGAACAGAGGTTTCCAATAAATCACCCAGTGCGCCAAAGGCAATGACAGCTGGGGGCTTGGCAGAAGCCACGGTTAACTGCTTCACTGCTATCCTCCCTACCCCAGCCAAACCACCCCTCTTCCCCAACACCGCCACTGCCACCACTCTGCCAAAACCTCAGGATGACAAGAGCAGGAGAATAGACTTTGTGCGAGGAACAAAGGAGAAGTCCAGGGCTCTGAACACTCCCCTTGTACATCTGTCATTTCTGGACTGAGCACTGAACTTCGAGTCAGGAGCTAGGGCCAACTCAATTTCATGGCATGGCTCCGGACTAGTCATTTCTTCCCTCTGGGCCTTAGTTTCCCCATCTGCAGGATATAGGTATGGCTGGGTGCTTTGGGGTGTTATGAAAGAATGAAGCAGGCAGGATTTGAGCACAGCTCTGGGGCTGAATGACCCCTGCCCTTTTCCCATCAGCCTTTCTCTTTATCTCTCCAGGTCAGCCTCAGGGGAACCCCTTGGGCTGCACCCCACTACTGCCGAATGGCTCTGGCCACCCCTCAGAGCTGGGCAGCACCAGACGGGCAGGGAACGGTGCCCTGAGTGGCCCCAAGGCCCATCGGAAGTTGCAGACACACCCATCTCTCGCCAGCCAGGGCAGCAAGAAGAGTAAGAGCAGCACCAAATCCACCGCCTCCCAGATCCCCCTCCAGGCACAGGAAGGTAAGCACCCCATCCCATCTCTCCCTGGGAGAGGCCTCCAAAGCCAGGTTTCTGAAAGCAGGACCCAGGGGCCTGCAGGAGCACCCTCACCAGGCTGCTGCTTAGAAATGCAGGATCTCAACCTCCTTCCAAGCCTGCTGGATTGGACTCTGGTGGGGCTTAACAAGCCCTGCAGGGAACCTGACGCATGATCAAATCATAGAACCTTGAAAAGTGCACCTGCTGGGTAAACTGACGCATACCTACCTCCTCAAGCCCGCCCCCACCCCCCCCACCCCTCCCATCCTTGCTTTCCCAGAATTGCTGTAACAAGCAACAGAGCCACCTAGGTTAATCCATCTTAAGCCCCTCTGTTTCTGGAAACAGAAATTTTCTCTCTAGGGAGGAAGAAAAAAACATATAGCAGAACAAAATGGTGCCGGGGCAGGGCTGCAAGGTGCAGTGGGAGGTCAGAGGATCCAGACTCCAGACAGCTGTTGTGCCTGCAACACAAAGATCTCCGCAGGGCTGCAGGGCAGCCAGCCCCCTCCTCACCAGCCATCAGGTGAACATGGCTTACAGCTGCCTGAGCTCAGTGATGGCCTGACCTTCACCCCAGAATGTTCCAGTGGTTCCTGTCTGTGTGGAGGGACACTGGCCTGGGCATCTGCAAATGAATTCAGTTTACACATTCGCACATAACATGCTTAGAAAGCTTCCCACTTTGCAGAGCAAATTCTGCCCAACAGTTTTTTTGTTTTTGTTTTTGTTTTTTTTTCTGAGACAGAATCTTGCTCTGTCACCCAGACTGGAGTGCAGTGGCGCAGTCTCAGCTCACTGCAACCTCCGCCTCCTGGGTTCAAGTGATTCTTCTGCCTCGGCCTCCCAAGTGTGTACCACCACGTGTACCACCATGCCCTGCTAATTTTTGTATTTTTAGTAGAGATAGGGTTTCACCGTGTTGGTCGGGCTGGTCTCAAACTCCTGACCTTGTGATCCACCCGCCTCTGCCTTCCAAAGTGCTGGGATTACAGGCATGAGCCACTTTGCCCAGCCCCATAGTCTTAGTTATGAAGGAGCCATTTATTCATGTAAAATGCCCTGGCTGGGCGTGGTGGCTCCGGCCTGTAATCCCAGCACTTTGGGAGGCTGAGGAGGGTGGATCACCTGAGGTCAGGAATTCGAGACCAGCTTGGCCAACATGATGAAACCCTGTCTCTACTGAAAATACAAAAAATTAGCCAGGCATCGAGGGGGACCCTTATAATCCCAGCTACTCGGGCAGCTGAGACACAAGAATCGCTTGAACTCAGGAGGCAGAGGTTGCAGTGAGCCAAGTTTACACCATTGCACCCCAATCTGGGCAACAAGAGTGAAACTTCATCTCAAAGCAAAATAAAATGAAATGTCCTAGGTACCTGCTGTGTGCTGGATACCTGGTTCATGCCGTCATAAAGCTCTTATGAGAGACACAGGTAATCGCCATAAGAGGTGATAAGTGCAGTGATAAAGTCACAAAGAGGATTATGTGAACGCAGGAGGACACTCTCACCAGCCCAGAAATCTGGGAAGGCTTGGAGGCAATGTCTGAGCATGCCTTAAAAGATGAGAAGGAGGTTCCAGCCAGGAGAGCACAGAGGTGATTAATGGCCAGTATGGCCGGAGGGTGAAGTGCCAAAGGTGAGACTCCTGGGAGGCAGGGGTCCTGGGAGGTCCTTACCAACCAGGCAGTGAAGCTAGACTATCTGGAGAGCAGTAGGGCGCCCCTGAAGGGTTTTTAACAAGGTGGTGACCTCATCCAATTTACATTTGAAGAGAACTACCCTATCCAGTTTGAAGAGAGGTAGCCAGACCCTAGTCCCTCCACACAGGAATGCAGGAGAACAGGGTTAGACCCTCCTCCCTCCTCTCTACAGTGAGTCTCCCAGGGGGCCCCTGGCCAGAACTGCATGCTCTGCCCCATGGCCTGGCCCCAACACATGGAGCACTGCAGGACAGAGGCTCTAGAGCCAGCAGCCTGGACTCAAGTCCCAGCTCCAGCACCTCCAAGCTGGTGCCCAGCGCAGCTTCATGCATTTCTGTTCACTCAGCACCCCTATGTGCCAGGCGCTGCTCTAGGGACTTGTAATCTGTCAGTGAACAAAATGGGCAAAGGTACCTGCCCTGCTGGAGCTTACACATCCAGTAGGAGGAGATGACAATGAACGTGAGGAAACCGTGTAGTACAGTGGGAGGCGATGGCCGCTAGGGGAAGCAGGCAGCCAGGTAGGGCCAGGCAGGGAGAGCGAGGCGGAGCCAGCCAGTTGGAGTATTGAAGCCAGTGGTGCAAGACCTCCACGAGAGGTGGCATTTGGGCAAAGCAGGAGATGAGGGAGTCAGCCAAGCATGTGCCTGTGGCAAGACTGCTCCAGGCAGAGGCCAAGGAGCAGCCAGGAGGCCAACGTGCTGGAGCAGAGTGATCCGGAGGAGAGAAGTGGGAGAAGAGAACTAAGAGGGCACAGGGACCAGACCACAGGGGGCCTCAGGGGCCACTGCGAGGACTTCAGCTTCTATCACAAGTGACATGTGAACCATGGGAGCGGTCTGAGCAGAGGAGGGCCAGGATCCAACAGACGTTTCTAAAGGATCCCTCTGGTCACAGTGTGAAGTGGAGATGCTTCAGGGGCAGTGGGTAAAGCCAGGGATTGGGGAGACCAGTGAGGAGGCTGTTGAAGGTGTCCAGGTGAGAGATGAGCCAGGTGGTAGGATTCTGGGTGTAGACTTAGCTTCTCTCTATTTTTTTTTTTGAGACAGAGTCTCTCTCTCGTTGCCCAGTCTGAAGTGCAATGGTGCGATCTCAGCTCACTGCAGCCTCTACCTTGGGTTCAAGTGAGTCTCCTGCCTCAGCCTCCCGAGTAGCTGGGATTACAGGCGTGCACCACCAAACCCGGCTAAATTTTTTGTATTTTTAGTAAAGGTGGAGTTTCGCCATGTTGGCCAGGCTGCTCTTGAACTCCTGACCTCAGGTGATCCACCCACCTCGGCCTCCCAAAGTGCTGGGATCAGGCATGAGCCACCGGGCCCAGCTGACTTAACTTCTCTTAACCTCAGTCTCTTCATCTGTGGAGTGGGGCTAGGGATAGCCCCTGCCTCATAGAGTCGTCGTTGGAGGTCTAAACGAATGTAATTCATGCAGAGCACTCAGAATAGTGCCTAGAACAAGTATCACTCCATATGTTGGTTAAATAAGCAAACTGAGGCTGGCTAAGAGCAAGGATGATCCAGGCTGCCTGGGCTAGATCCTGCTCTGATGTGCCCAATTGTGTGTGCCTCGGGGTCATCACCTAGGGGACAGACGTGTGAGCTTCATGTGCGCCAGGAGCTTGGCATGGGCAGGTGCATGGTGAGCACTCAGCATCCCTGCCGCTGCTACTGCTGCTGGGCCCCCACGCCCCTGGCTGTTTCACACATGCTCACCCCTCCCCGTCTCCACCGCCCACCCCGCAGACTGCTGTGTCCACTGCATCCTGTCCTGCCTCTTCTGCGAGTTCCTGACGCTGTGCAACATCGTCCTGGACTGTGCCACCTGCGGCTCCTGCAGCTCAGAGGACTCGTGCCTCTGCTGCTGCTGCTGCGGCTCCGGCGAGTGTGCTGACTGCGACCTGCCCTGCGACCTGGACTGTGGCATCCTGGATGCCTGCTGCGAGTCTGCGGACTGCCTGGAGATCTGCATGGAGTGTTGTGGTCTCTGCTTCTCCTCCTGAGCCTCTGTCTGGGACTGGGCCAGCCGGGCACCCCTGCAGATTCCAGCAGGGTCCTCCTGAGTGGGGCCAGGCCTAGGACTGTCACACAAGGCTTGAGAAGGCCCCCTGTCCCTGGTCCTCTTTCACCCACCCATGTCCTCTCAGAACCCCAACTTTGAAAATGGAGGGGGCGTGCTCAGAGGGGCTGTTTCAGCCGTGGGTGGTGGGCCCACGGCATAGAAGCCTGAACTCTTTACTGGGTTACCAGGGACACACATCATTCGAAGACCTGGTGGGACAGCCTAGGGGCAGGGCTGGGGTGGGGGCTGCAGGGGGCCAGCCAGGGCTGCGGAACACTGTGAAAGTTACCTGGGGAGGATGGGTTGGTGGGGCCATGGCTCTCTACCTCTCCCTGCTCCTGGTGCCTGCCTCTCTCCACCACCTCGGGCTTAGAGGACAGCAAATGTGAAAAGAGACACCCCACCCGCCCTCAGCCAGCCCTCTCCAGTGTCCTATCCTAGGCTTTTGTGGGGGCCTAACACATGCAGTGACTCTGGAAAGCAGGGCTAGGCAAGGCCTTTGGGTAGGGTGGGAGGGGGAACAGTATGGAAAAGACTGGAAGGGGAAAGGGAGGGAAGGGAGGGAAGGTCTGTTCTATTTGTTGCTGTAACTAAAGATATTTGTCCATCTCAGATTTCCTCAGGACTCATGACTAATTTCTATGGGCCATGACTCTCAAAAGCAAACGCTCCTACCACCCCTAAAAAGCACCCATATGGATGAGGCTGCCCTGCCCTCTGGGGGCCCTGCCTCTTCTGCTTTTCTTACCCCAGAAACTGCCCTGCCCTTCATGTTCCCCTCCCTTCTTCACATTTCCCTCTAAGGGAAGAAGGTAAGTGGGGTATCCTCTCCCACCATTATTTCCCTTTTCCTACCAAAGGGGAGGGGAAGCCCGGAGAGGGAAGAGTTAACCTTGGCATGGAATTAATTAACAGCAGATGTGTTTGGGTTTTGATTAATTAATCTCCTGCTGACTCCAGCTTCTCCAGCTCTTCCTCATGAAGTCGTTCCAAGGCGTAGGTGACGCCCATGTTGGTACCAGAGGGGTGCCCAGGAGGGGGCCAGTTCCAGGCCCGGGGCACCCCAGGCTTGCCCCTGGGCTTCAGTGGGGGCCCGGTTGGGGTTACACATGCAGCCTCAGGCATCCCCCCATTGCCAGGGGTCTGAGAAAGAAGGAAGCTGTGTCAGGACTGCAGGGGCCTCCAAGGCCATCTGTGGGGCGGCCTTGGTATGCAGAGGGAGGAACCTGAGAAGCGATGGCAGCTGTGAGGACTGCAGGGCTGCACTGGGGGCAGCTGGACCAGCACCCCCACCACACACATCCTGCACCTGAGGAGAGGTCCAGGGGGCATGAGAGGCTCTCAGACGGTTAGGGTGACTTGGAGAAGACAGCTGATGAAGGCTTGAGAGGGGACCGCAAGGGTAGTGGTAGGCACTGCTTCCAGGAATGAAGGCTTGGAGTGGTTCCGAGGGGTTCTGGAAGGAAGTGCGGGGTGACTGGGGGAAAGGGCCAGATGAAATTCAAACGCTCTTAAGGAATGTCATAGGAGAGAGCAGCCCATGGCCTTAGGAGTAGGTTTCATTGCAGCAGGAGGAGGAGGTTCTAAGTCACAGCGAGAGAACTAACCCCCGCTCCTCCCCATTCCACCCCCACTCACACAGGGCTCACTTCACCAGCTTCAGGGTTTTCTGACCTCTGAGAGCACACAAGAAATTCAGGACACAGGAAGGGAACTGCCGGGGGTCTCACTATCAAGCCAGTAGAGGGCCCCAGAGGCACCCCCAGTACTCATGTATCTCTGTGTGTATTTGTATGTTTTTTAGTTATTGCACGCCCAAGGTACAAAAGGTTTGAAAGTCTAATCTGGGCACACACAAGCATTTACATGTACGTGTTTTCTTTTTTTACAAAAATATGAGGATCCCGTACACACTGTCCTGGACCCTGTTTCTCCCACCTGACCATGTACTGGGGAGCTTCCTTCCCAGCACACGGAGAGCTGCCTGAATCTCCTGGATGGATGCGCCATCATTCGGGGACCCAGCCCTGCGTAGTCCGCGCTCAAGTACTTTGTTACAAGGGTGAGCGAACACACCCTTCTGCATGAATGAGCTATATCGGCAGAATGTTGGTGAACGTTGGATTGCTGGGCCTGCCATTGACAGGACTGCCCAGCTGTCCTCTGTGAGGGTGTACCAGCCTCGGCTCACTCGGCCTGGGGGGCGTCCACTTCTCCCACTGCCCTGCAGAGACAATGGTGAGAGAGTTTAGAATTCAGTCCTCGAGGCTGGGGTCTGAGGGATGTTAGGGAGGCCAGCTCGGGGGTGAAGGGGCTTCTGACCAGCTGAATACTGGTCCAGGTAGGCCGGAAGACCTGCTCCTGGCCCTTCCCGCTCCGCAAGGCTGTGGCAGGAAGAGGCGCCGCTGCAATCCAAACAGCCATTTCCTGCTGCAGGCTCCAGGCTGTTTTCTTTTGGACAGTGGCTGAAACCCTAGAGGCTGAGCCGGGTCGGGGTGGGACTGGGGAAGAATTTAGCCAGCCCCCTAAAACATACACACACACACACACACACACACACACACACATGCACGCACGCACACACACTCACTGCAAACACACCCACTTCACGCCTATTGCACCCACATACACTCACACAGCCTCTCCGTACAGTCACACTCTCACATTCCATAGGCTCATGCATTCCACACCCGCACCACACACACACCACATCTGCACACACACAGACACACACTCACACACTGCCCATTTCAGAGCCTGCAGCTGCCGCCACCCCAGGCCAGCCTGAGACTGGGCTGCGAAGACCCATGTCGGCCCATTCCCCCTTCATCCCACACCTGCCGTGCCTTCCTCACCTCCCCGTCTTTGCCCAGGTGCCCTCATCCCTGCCAGGCAGCAAATAGCATTCATCTAGAGGCTGCCCACCCCCAACCAGGGCAAGCCCTGGCTCTGGATCCGTCCCTCTCCTCATGGCCCACCACAGGCTCCCAGGCTCTGCTTTCCAGTGGCTGGGCTGAGCCAGATGACAGTTCTAGGCCTGGCTGTGCTGTGGGCCGCCAGGAAGGGGCCCTTTCTTCCCCAGGCCTTAGTTCCCAGTGTGTACAATGGAAGAGCAGGGAGACTGCAGCCGTAATGGTGGCCACAGTGTCCAGGGAACACCTGCCTCTCTCTGGTCTTTTATCGCTAGAGCAGCTGATCGGCCCGCTTTTGTCTGGGAGCTGTCTTAAGAGGCCACCCCCATCCCTGTTGATTTAGCCTGTTGTCTAAACCAGAGCAAGCACCCTCTGCTTGTGGGATAAAAGGTGGTGAGGCCAAGTTAAGCCGACCCTGGCCAGTGCTGTCCATGACCACTCAGTGATCTTGCACGCCAAACCTAAGAGAGGTGGCCCCACGGCAGAGCAAGAAGCTGAGCCAGGAGCTGGTTTGTGAGGGGAGGGCAATCAGCTGGGGCCTCTGCCTCCAAAGTCTCCATCAGCTTCTCCCTGAATTTGGAACTTGAACTGGCCTGGCCTCCTCACACCCAGCACAGGGCCAGCTGAGCTTCAGGCCCCGTGGCCTCTGTGGCTCCAGAGCTGCCAGGACGGAACACCGTTAAGCAGCTCTGACACTGGGCAGAGCAGGTCCACCCCACCCCATGCCTCACCCCCAATAGCTTCACCTGTTCCCCAGGGAGATGGTCCAGTTGTGGGGGCCAGGGCTGGTCCCTGAGGTTTTCAGGGCGACTGCTGCACACACTCCCAGGGCTGAGCAGGGGGCAGCGGGACTCTGCTTGCTGATCAAGCTGAGAAAATAGCACAGCCGTCCTTGGGACTGGCCCTGGGCAAAGAGAGGTGAGGGAGAAGCAGGGACAGGAGGCTCAGGCCGCAGTGGGGAAGCAGCGGGTCGTGGGGACAGAGCTCACAGACTTGGTCCCCTGTCATCGCTGTCAGATGATCCTCTCTTCACTCTGACTTTCCTAGGCTGGTGGAGTCATGTGGTATGGGATAGACTCTCAGTCACAGCCCTCTTATCACCCCAGCTGGCCCCTCATCTTTCACCTCCTCTGGAGAAAAGCTGCCTCCCAGCCCTTCCTTGCCTTTCACCTGGTTTCACCACTTTTCCTCTGGCCGTAGCCACCTCCCCATTCACATCCCTGCCATCTCTGAGTCTGCTTCTTTCTGGGTGCTGGGCACATTTCCTCCTACTGCAGACAGATACGGGTGGAGTGGGAAGGGGTAGACACACTGTCTACCTGGCACAGTCTCAGTTCTACCCCCTTGGGGCCACATAGCAAAGGCCAGGGAAGCACTCTGATTGGCCCTGCACACACAACAGACTCATCCCTGAGCCAATCACGTTGCCAGGGGGACAAAGGGCTGCAGCTGGCCAGGCCTCATCGTGGGCTGCCTCTGTGGCCTGGGGGGTGGGCTACTTGGCCACCCCTCCAGACCCTTAGAGAATCAAGGAAGGGAAGCCTCCCAAAGAGGTAGGGGTGGTGTGACTAAAACAGGGGTGAAGCTAACAGATTAAAACAACAGAAGTCACTGTGGGGTCAGATAAGCATGGGTGGTCCAGAGAAGTCCCTGACTAGGGGAGACCCGGCTGGAAACTCCAAGGTGTCAAGTGCAGCTCAGCACATTTGGCTGAAGAACAGAAGGTAAGAATGGCCTTCAAATACCTGCATCTTGGGGAGGAGAGTGAGGCTTATTTTCAGTCTCCAGCAGGTAGGGGTAAGACTGAGAAGCAGACGTCACAGACATTCCCAGCTCCAGGAACGAGAGAACACTCTGCTAGCAAGAACTCCCCCGGGGAGGATGGACCACCACAGCGGGGGGCAGGGTGGGGTCGTCCCTGTTCCAAAGACTGTTCTGGGGGAGCAGGTGTAGATTAGGTCCCTGCCCAGGTATTGGCAGGGTGGCAGAAAGGACAGATGGTGGAGAATTTTTACAGGTGCCCCCACAATTCCTTCTAACTCATACCTTCCATAGCTAACAATATTGACTGAGGCCATCTCCTGTGCAAGAGAGAAACACAGGCTTGTAGTCGGGGAGATGGGGAGATGAAGGAAAGGAGACAGAGACAAGGAGGCAGACAGGACAGTGTGGACAAAGTAAGGCCCTTGAGACGGAAAAGTGAAGCAGGCGGGCTGCAGGCACATGGCCCCCGCCCCTCCCAAGGTCACTGATGTGGGCTGTGGAGACAGTGGTGCCCCTCAGCCCAGGTCCTTCCCAGGCATGGAGCCTCCGCAGAGCTGGGCAGCTTGGCATTAATTAGGACCTGTCTAATGGCTCGGAAGATTGGCCAGTTCTAGGGACGCTGATGAATAGAGACCACGCTGAGATTTATTCCTAATTATCTCATTTGTCTCCCCCCATTACTCTTTATGGCCAGGATTTATGGGACCATTATGGGGGCCCAGTCAGGCCAGGACGAGTGTGAGCCTTGAGATGCTTCATGATAATAACAATAACAACGCTCCCCCTGGCCCGGATGAATGGAGGACTTCCTTCTTGCCCTCCCCATCCCCTGTCCTTGGGACCCCAGACACTAGCTGCCTCCATGTTCCTCTCCTGTCTAGGACCCCGGGCCCTCAGCCACCTGTGAGTTCAAGCCTGTGCCCCACTTTGCCTCCC